TTTCTAACGGAATGTCATCATCATAATTTGGAAACATTCCTACAGGATCTTCATGAGATTAAAAAAGAATCCTCTACAATTACACTAACGATCAAATACAATCCTACTGAATGAAGTGTAATTGCATTTTATTTCCAGAATTGCAGTTTCAGAGTTATATTGGAGGACAGGAAACTTCAACTTGAGTCCTGCAGAGTTTAATTCCAACGCAGCTGATTTTCACTTATTATGACATCGATCTTTCCTCCAGCTCACATGTGCATTTACTTCAAACGAGAGAGAGAGAGAGAGAGAGAGAGAGAGAGAGAGAATAAGCGGGGAGGGAATCTACAAACACTCAGTTTATAGTGAAAACTAACAAACACGGTTTGTCTATAAAAAATATATGTATTCTTAGCTTGAGTCAGTTTTGTGAGACAAAAAGTCAAACAAGACAGTCCATGTTTTCCTGTATATTAAAGCACTGTTGACACAGTAAACATGTCTTTAATTCACCAACAGTGATCTGGACTGAGACGTGGTGCTGTTGTCACAACACTGTTGATCTGCACATGTGCTCATTAAGCCAGAGGACATGAAAGACATACAGCAGCTTCAAAGAGGAAGACTCGTCATCACCATTTGCCAGCACTAATACACCAGCCTGGAGATAAGCAGTCATTTGCATCATAAAGATATCGATTCTAAAAGACATGGGGAACAACTTGAGTTGAGCTGATCGGCTTGTATACACTGTAAAAAGTGGAGATTTGCAGCTCTTCTGCTGCATCAGACCCTTAATAAAACACTTTTGTTAGTGTAACCATAGTGAAAAATAAATATACATAAATGTATTTGAAATACATTTATTTCATGCTAAGCATACTACAAATACATTTACGTAAATATCCTGCAATTGTACTTTACTATACTAAACTGGTAGCCTAAAGTCTGCTAAATTGCAACAACTCATTTTGTGCTTAATGCACTTTAATTGTGCAGGAGTAAGTCCAACTAAAGATATGCTTAGTATATGTGATTGTGATAAAGTGGAACTCTCACAAGTACACTTCAGATACACTTTAAATATCATGCATTTAAAGACCGATATTATTCAAAGATCATACAATCCTCACCAATAGTGTCATTAAAACACATTTTAGGCTTAATATTAAGAAATGTGCATTATGCACAAGTACTCCAAATACAGTTTAATTATAATGTTTATATCAGTAAGTCTCGAGTTATCTGTCAGTAAATATGTTAATAGATTTGAACTATACTTAGTATGAAATAGATGCATTTTAAATATATAACTTTTTTACTAGGGAACCGTATGTAGCAGGTCGATTCAGTCATATTAGATCTTTTTTTTGACTTGAATAAAACCAGTTATATTTCATTTAGATGCTTTTACATGAAGCGCATTTTAGGTTATGGGACCTTTTTTTACAGTGTACTCAATCAAATATGAACAAATATGGAAACTTTGTCTGCTTTATGCAATAAGCAGCATATAGCTTTCTGAAAGGTAACATGAGGTTTGTGTCAGGAAAAAGAGAAAATGGGATAATCCCTGAAGATCTCTCAGCATTGAGTTTTGCACACGGAGATACTCCAGACATGTGAGGTTTGCAGTAATCGTTTCTCAGATAACATTAAAGGTGGAGGGGCGCATGAGGGACCAGCATACCCTACACCCAACCACACAGCGAAAGATGAAAAGTATCATCTGGGACTCTATGATTATAGCAATCCCAGAACAAGAATTCACGCATGATCTTCAAAGGCGGTTGTTACTTAAGTTCACTCACAAATCCATCTCCTCATATCTCAAAAACCGTGTTGCGAAATACACACCTAAAGGGGAAGCTTTCTTCTTTCTCAACAATATCAGCTCTGCGACTTTACAAGTCTAATCTAAGCGTCTAGTAATGTTCCCTGTGGGGTTTCTGAAGCTTCTAACCTTTTGGAAAGGTTACAATGCAAAGAGAAGCTGTCAAAAACAACATTTCATATCCCATAACAAAACATATTCCATAACACAGAGGACGTAGAAGTGTTGCTGCTGAACTATTCTTCAGAAGAATGATTTCCTTCAGAAGTCAAACGCACACGTATCCTACAGATTCAACAAGCACATGTGTGAAGAAGATCAGGGCAAGACTGCCTTGCACTAGGTGCGTGTGCATGTCTCAACCAGATGAAAAACAAACGGATGACTGATGCAATTATGTGTTGGGTGATTTATAGACAGGCAGCGGGTGCAAAACACACTTTTCTTCCTCCTCTTCACTACATGCAATTACTGCTGTTATTATTATCTTTGGACTACTGATAGTTTGTGGTTTTTACCCTCAATTTGAGTGAAAAATGGTCCGATCATCATTTACTGTTCATTATAATCAGCAAGGGCTGCGTCAAGCGAGATCAAGCACTGTGGAAAAGCATATAACTGTTGAAAGTTCAGCTCTGACGTCTGTCCCTGTGGTCCAGTGATCGGAGAATGTTCCGCATCAATCTCACAGAACGCTCTAGAATATGTGGCCTATTCAAAATAATACAATGTCTCAAACCGATGTCTCCATGTGTCAGCATCCTTAGAGTTGGCAAAACTCCAGATAACTGAATCAACATGAACGGACTTTAACAGTTCACTTTTAAACTAAAAACTATTGGCTTTAAAAATCAACCGATTGCTATTGTCCTCTTTTTAGAGCTGCTTTACAGGTTTGCATCGCTGGAACTTTATTTTCCTGTTTATCACCGTGAAGCTGCTTCGACTGTCTGTATTGTGTAAAGCACTGTAGAAATAAAGGTGACTTGAATTGCAGTCCGAGATTTCTCAAAGCTTCTCACCCAGAATCAAATGATCTATGAGTTCTGAGCTATTCATATTCATTTTTTTTTAAATTTCTATACTCCCAAATACTCTATACTCTAAACCCAAATGCTCTTCTGTTAGATAATATAGTATACCATATAAAAATACTGAAGTATAATATTAAAAAAATGGCCTAATGTTATGAGCATAGCCGACATCACACAAGCTTTGGCAGTGAAAAAGTGATGTTTATGTACAAACACAGCTAAGAATTTAATTGCAATCCAAGTGAGCATTTTTACTTCTCTTTGGCAATTGACACAATAACAAACATAAGCTTGAGTTTCGATGACAGGACCAGAACGGAGAAAACCTATCTATCTATCTATCTATCTATCTATCTATCTATCTATCTATCATCTATCTATCTATCATCTGACTATTTCTATCTATCTATCTATCTATCTATCTATCTATCATCTGACTATTTCTATCTGTCTATCTATCTATCTATCTATCATCTGACTATTTCTATCTATCTATCTATCTATCTATCTATCTATCATCTGACTATTTCTATCTATCTATCTATCTATCTAATATTTCTTATCTTCCCGTGTGTTAATAATGTTTTTGAGAAAGCTATCTGAATGCTATCATCATGTGTAAGGCGATCTGGTGGATATTTCGCAGCAGTCAGTGGAGTTGTTTAGCAACGAGTGGCAAAGGTCTGAATGAAAGAAATGTCAAAGTCATCAATCACCTGACAGCTCCAGCTCCAGCTCCACCCCCTTGAGCAAGTCATCACCATAACACTCACTGCGCTCATCAATTACACGCGGAGCTGGAGTCACTTTCCAACACGGAGCATTGCTGTTGTGTAATGTTTATTCAGCCCATTTAGATCCCATTTTTTGGCCTTTTTTTGTGCCTAGCATCACTTTGTTCAAATCACTAAACCTAAGTAAGAGCACTAGTAACAGTGTTGCTTTCCACTAGCAAACACTAAACTATAACAACATAACCATGCTTGCATGAGATCTAAATTTGATTTTAATAATTAACATCCACATTCCAACTTTGTCACCCACAAATTAAAGTTATTGCATAATGCAAACGGAATGCATTGGGTGTTCAGAAATGACAAAGTATAAATAAAACATTCATATAAAAATATTATTTTACAAAATATACTCTCTTACCGATATTTTACAATTTCAGTGTAAATTCTACATCTGGATTCATCACTATACCAGTTACAAAAAGCTTGTGGTCAGTAGTTTCGTAATATTACAGCGAATGTGATTAATCCAGACTAGCAGCACACAGGAAATTTCTCATAGGAAAAAACAAATATTGCTTCCTGTCTTGTAAACTAAAACTGTAACTATTCTTTCAGAAGATACAAATCTCAGTGTATTCGTGAACAGAGCTGCAGATCCACTATTTCTTTCCAGTGTCTCATTAATTACAGTTAACAACATTGTTTTTAATAAATAAATAAAATCAGTTGTTTGGAAGAATTTAACAACAGAGCACAACAGCGATCAGCAACCTTGGTTCCAGAAGTACTTTTCCCATTCATTTTCTCTATAGGAATTTACTTAAAAAATAAAATAAAAAAACGTAAATAAGGCAATTAAAGTCATGAATTGAACCAACCAGTTTCAAGATGAATCATTACAAACTTTCCCAGGAGAAAATAAAAAGTGCACTTCCATAATGTACTTAAAGTGCTCTATTTTGACACACTAATTTTGTATTTAACATACTAAAAATTATTTTTTAGTACTTCTTAAGATAATCTTAAGAGCATCTAAGTGTACTCAACTGTGCTATTTTGGGACACCATCTTTCATACACTAGTACACTCAAGTGTACTACAAGTGGTATCTAAATACATTTTTTTTTTACAGAGAAAGTATGTTAAAAGCACATTTTAGTTCATATTCATGGTGTCCCAAAATAGCACAGTTGAGTACACTTAGATGATCTTAAGATTAGTGCTAAAGAATAATTGGTAACACTTTATTTTAAGGTGTCCTTGTTACCCACGTTACATGTACTTACTATTATAATAACAATAAATTATGCATAATAACATGCAAGTAACCCTAAGCCAAACCTTAATCCTAACCCTAACCATATAGTAAGTACATGTAGGTAATTAATGTTACTAAGTAACAAGGATACCTGGGTTGATTTGTAGCAAAAAATTAAAAGAAAGTCCTCTCCTCTACTTCTGGAACCCTGCTGTTTTGCTCTATTTGTCAATGTCTCTGTACGTTTCGCTGCATGCCTGCAAGACGTCCATGTCTCAGTAGCTCCATTGGTACAATCAAGGTGCAGGTCGTTGTTATGAGTTTTACAGAGAGCCTTCTTTTAATCCAGACAGCTTCAGGATTTATGGAAGAAAGAGAGGAAAGCTGTGTGGCATCAAAGGTACAGTCATTTACACTTTTAGTTCCACGTTCCTTCTCACGCAATTCTTTCTCCAGAGTAAAGCTTTGACAATCTTGACGATTTTCCATTAGAGTGAGTCTGAAGTAAGGTCTTGTGCAAAAGTACAAATGCCACCTGATTGAGTCATCTTTTAATGTCAGGATGAAAGACCCTTACCTTTTCCATAAGCATCGCTCATTTGCATGTGTACACCTCTGTCCTCTCGCTGCAAGTGTTGCATTTGACGTAGCAGCACCAGAAGAACTTGCAGTGGCACTGCCAGACGCGTGAATACTGGTGTGTGTTGTATCCACGGCCGCAGCACATCAGCTCGCAGCCGTTGGGATGGTGCATCAGCGTCTTATTGCACACCCGGCCCCGAGTGCCCACGCTGCCAGTCACGGGGTCCGCCTCGCAGTAGCTGGGTGATTTCTCGATGTACACCAGATCCGTGTCCATGGGCTTGCGGTACGAGTAGGGCTTTTTGATCTTGAGGAAAGTGGGCCGCTTGTGGCGCGTGGCTTTGACCGGCTCCACGTGGACAGCGTGGCTGTATTTGTCTTTGAGGATGTAGCCGAGCTCGCGAAACTTGGGGAGGGTCATCCAGCAGGTTCTGGTGGTGCAGGATCCAGACACACCGTGGCATTTACACTCCAGCCGCATGCTCCTCTCCAGGACCTGAGACCAGCACAGCAGCAGGAATATAATACATCAGTGCTTCCATCAATCGAATGTCTCATTACTGACAATGAACTTAAGGTTAAGTTACACTTTATTTTAAGGTGTCCTTGTTACAGTTTAATTATACATTTAGGTACTGGGTAATATTAATTAACTACATGTACTTACTATATGGTTAGGGTTACTTGCATGTAATTATGCATAATTTATTGTTATTATAATAGTAAGTACATGTAACATGTGTAACAAGGACACCTTAAAATAAAGTGTTACAGACGGTTACTTTGGAAATGTAATAGGTTACAGATTACAAGTTACCCTGTTTAGAATGTAATAAGTAGTGCAACGATATATCAGTTACTTTATTAGTGTAACTGATTACATTTGATTACTTTTTTGTTACTTTTCTAAATTTAAATGTATATATTTTTATATAATTTTTTCTACATTTTTCTAAACTGTTAATCATTTTGAAACATTTAAAGCAGGTGGGGTTAACCTTACAGTAGCAATAAACACAGATCAGGGTTAGGGTTAGAGTTATTCCTGAAACATGCAATTTGGGAAATAAATCAATCATATCTGTATGTGTGTGAAAATATTCAGATGTAACCCCCTTAGTAATCATTCACATTTTCATAAGTAACTGTAATTTAACTACACATTTTTTCTCAGTAACTGTAAGAGTTATTTTGTAATTAAATTACGGGATTCCGTTACATGTAACTAGTGACTCCCCAACACTGACTGTAACACACTCGCATATACACCTGCATCAAAACTCTACTTCTTTGAGAAGAAATCAATGTGCTTGCAATGTCATTTCATGCTGATGTTTTGCATCATCTTGCTGATGCTGATGTCTTCAGACTGAAAAGGTTTGCTTTGAACTTAAGGCTGGATTACACTACAGTATATGACTTTGGTCCAATTTACATTCTACAGATTTTAATCATTCAGAATTGACCAATTTCACAGAAAGTTGCGTAGTCTATAACGGGCACAAGACACCAATTTTCACTTTATTTTGATAGTTCACATTAGACATTCTACTAACTTTAAATAACTTTGCATCTACAGTACATGTCAACTATCAGCAATTAGAGTATTAGTAGATTGTCTGCTTAACATCTGCTAACACTTTATTTTGATGATCAACACACATTCAGTTGGCTTTACAAATACGTGTTAACTTATTCTACTAACCTGCTAATCTACAGTCTGCTAATACTCTAATGAGAGTTAGTTGACCTGTAGTTAGGGTCAGAAGAATGTCTAAATGTAACCCATTTTTTTTGGCTCAGACTGAATCCATTTAGTCAAAGGATATCAGAAATGTTTTATATTTTGAGCTGATCGCAGAACACAAGCTGTTTTCATCTATCATGCATCAAGGCATATGTTTCTGTGTAAGCTTGTAGCGTTGGGAATGACTTGAATGTCTGGTAGTGTGTGATCCTCAGTCATTTGTGTGTATGATCCCCAGTCTTTTCTCTGTAACCATTCACAAGTCAGTAAGTATATGATGCCTACTGTTTAATTAAAAGTCTGTTCAGATTTGAAAAGTCATGTAGTGTATACCAGCCTTCATGCAGGTGACAAATACCTAAATATTATGCAAACATGAAGCTGTTGGTACACCATCAATTTTACAAAAAGCATGCAATCACAGAGCTGTTGGTGGTGGTTTTCGAGGGTTTTATTTGGTAGTGTTCGGATTATTTTTCACCACTTTTACCATGTAGTTGCTAGGGCTAAGTAAGAAAAACTGCATGAAGTGTCCAACATTCAACACTTTTTTATGCTACGTGTTTGTTAGTGTTTTCTGGATGGTTGTTAGGGCTAGACTGCTGCTAAACCAGCCTCTGGTTTTCTGGTCTCTAGAAATGCCTTGGGTTCTTTCTTTAATGTCTAACTATTTTTTTGACCATTTTATTGATTAAAAAAAGTATAGACTAATATCCTTTCATGCCAATAGCACATGGCAAGTTACTTTGTTTAATATGTAATATTACTTGTTTCTTGGTTTAATATCACAAATCCCGTATAAGCGACAACAAAAATGAGGCTTGACTTAGCAAACTGATATCTGGAGTATCTGCTCATGTCATCACATTCAACAAACAATACATTAACTGCACAATAACTGTATTGTCATTGCACACAATGTTATTTTCCCCAACAACATACTAACGCCAATCAAAATGGCCCGACGTATCGTACATCAGCTCAGCGACTCACACCAGACCTTCTGCGATCTGCTGTTCAGAGATGTGCACCGTGAGCCAGTGGCATTACATTAGCTGGGAGGGGAACGTTCAAACAGAGCACTCTTTTTGACAAGGATAGAATGCAGCTAGAATGATCCTGTAAGGCTAGTCAGTTCACTAAGAGGCAATTTAGCTGCTCAGATAAGATGGTACAATCGGCGTGGGGACTGAGGACAAGAGTTGGTGCCATGAATCAGCTCTCTGTGACCAAACGTGCAACAAGCCAATGGAAGCTCTTCACCCCTCATTAAACTCGACTGGGAGAGCAAGAGTGATTATTCTGCTCTCTGTTTGGCTGATAGGCCGGTTGGCTCTTACTTCACACGTGCCCTAGTTAAAAGAACAGGTCATCTAAAAATGATCAAATTAAACTTCTGTCAAATTGTATTTGACAGCTTTGACGTTAATGGTGTTTGCCCATGAGACTTTCAAGAAACTTCAGAGAAGCTTCAGAAGAATTGAAATACAGTCCATAGAACTTAAAGGGGTCATGTGATGTTGCTAAAAAGAACATTATTTGGTGTATTTGGTGTAATGAAATGTGTTTATGCGGTTTAAGGTTAAAAAAACACATTATTTTCCACATACTGTACATTATTGTTTCTCCTCTATGCCCCGCCTTTCTGAAACGCGTCGATAGAGAAAGGAAAACTTGAAATCGCATCATATGACCCCTTTATTGACTGCTTCTGTGGAGTTTTTTTCCTTTTGGAGAACCATTCTTTTAACTTGATCATGACAACAGATAGGAGGGCTTGTTGTTTTATTTTAAAGGGGTCATATGATGCTATTTTAAAGATCATTATTTTGTGTATTTGGTGTAACAGAATATGTTGACATGCTTTAATGTTCAAAATACACATTCTTTTTCAAATACTGTACATTATTGTAGGTCCTCTATGCCCCGCCTAACTTTTATAAAGAATATCTCTTTGGATTTGAGACTTTAGTCTTTGCAACTTTACAGATCTTCTTTATGCACCAAGAGCTTGTAACACTCCAAAGAGAAAGGAACAATTGAAATCGCATCATATGACCCCTTTAATAAACAAAATTGCAAAACAAGATGGTTAACTATCACCCCTGGTGAAAAAGAAGTACACTTTAGCATTTTTTTTTTTATATATATATATAGTTTTAGTTAGTTAAACTTAAGCGTATATGGTTAAAAGGTGTACTGACAAGCATTTATAGTAAACTTAAATATATTTTAATGTAATTTCTATTGAAACTTCTATGTCTTGTATTGTAATGTATTTGTAATTACACATTTATTTTAGTAGATTTTAAATATATTAACTTTAAATATAATAGTGAATACACTAGAGGTAAAATTATACTCACGTACTTTCCATGTGCTTTAGTATGTTAGTCAACACATCAAAAATAAGTGTAATTTGTTAAAGCATGAGAAAAATGTATTAAATTATTATTAAATAGGGATGTAACGATTCACTCAACTCACGATTCGATTCGATTCACG